CATGAGGGAGTTTTTCTTTCCACTGTCGCCTTCATGCTTGTTCAAGACGAGAGTTCAGTGATGGAGTTAAACTCAAAGCTGCTCCTCAGATAAATAATGTTCAATTATTATTTTATATATGAATGTTTCTGTTCAATTATTATTTTATACATGAATGTTTCTGTTAACTTATTATTTTATACATGAATGTTTCTGTTCAATTATTATTTTATACATGAATGTTTCTGTTCAATTATTATTTTATACATGAATGTTTCTGTTCAATTATTATTTTATACATGAATGTTTCTGTTCAATTATTATTTTATAGATGAATGTTTCTGTTAAATTATTATTTTATAGATGAATGTTTCTGTTCAATTATTATTTTATAGATGAATGTTTCTGTTCAGTCCTGAGATGATTCTGTTTTGACTTGGAGCTGAATAAATAAACTGAACTGAATCAAAGTTAGCAAAGAGCTAATCCTCTAAACAGGAAGTTCGTTCTATTAGCGGATCAGCAGAACCGTGCTCACCACTGTCTGTCTGGTAGAAAAGTTGTCTGTGTGTGTTTGACTCAGTCCCTGTCTATCTGACTTGCTGAACATCTGTTTGGCTGAGTACCTGTCTGTCTGACCTATCTGTTACCTGTCTCACCTGTGCAGGTTGATGGCGGTGGAGGAGGAGTTGAAGAAGGATCATTCTGACATGCAGGCGGTGGTGGACTCCAAGCAGAAGATCATAGAGACTCAGGTACCTGCCTCACCTTCCACTTGCACTTGCCTCTGTTTCACCTGCCATCTCACCTGTCTGGTTCACCTGCCTGGCTTTCAGGAGAAGAGGATTGCGAGCCTGGATGCAGCAAACACTCGTCTGATGGCGGCGCTGACTCAGCTGAAGGAGCGTTACGGCGTGACGTCACAGAGAAACGGCCTGTCTCCGAGCAACACATCGTCCCTTCAGATCACAGAGAACGGAGAGTTCCGTAACTCTGGAAACTGCTGAGGAGCTGTTACCTGGGTGGATGGGCGGGGCTTAACCCCACCCTTCAGAGGCAGCTGGGAGAACATACGGACTGATTTCAAAACAAGAGAAAAATGAATGAATCAGTGCTGGCGTCGTTTCTACAGACTGTTGCTAGGTTACCCCTCACTTCCTGTTTATGTTTGCATGTTCCTCTTTGGACGTTTGACAAAAACATTCTTTCCTGTTTGAATTTGGAACCTCCTGTAAAAACCTCTACAACCAACTCCAAAACTTTTCGTTGACACACCTGCACATGACAGGTTGACCGACACCTCCACACCCACAGGTACGATTCTGAAGGTTCATCCGTTCAGTGCCGGCATCATGTCATGGTAATTTATGGCTTTTACAAGACATTTAACCCAAACGTCCCAGAAACCACCCCGGTTTAATCCTGTCACGAACTGGAAACTGCTGGAACACCAGAGTCCCTGTCCACCAATGTCCCTGTCCACAGTGAAGACAGTTTTACGTCCCTGTGGACCGAGAGGACCAAGAAAGAAGGTCCAAAACCTTTGAGCTGGACTGAAACCTGCAGCTGTCCACATGGACAAGACAAATGTGTTTTGGAGAAAAGTTTGACGTTCAGACGAGACAAAGACTGAACTGTTTGGACACAAAGACTAGAAGGACGTTCAGAGGAGTCAAGGTGGGGCTTTCAGACCTGAGGACACTGAACAGGCATGGTGGTGGGAGCATCATGCTGTGGTCCAAAGTGTATGGAATGATGGACTACCTTCAGACATGCAGCTAGATCTGTCCAATCCTGCGTGTTTTAGTTGTTTCCCTGTTCCAGCGCACCTGGATCAGCAGGTGAATGACCTCAAGTTCTACAGCAACATTCAAACTCAAACCAGGTGAGCCGAAGAACACGACCATCTAAAACACGCAGCATGGTGGCCCTGGAGGACCAGGACTAGACTGGACTGAAGATAGACGGTGGGATCTTGGACACAGGTGGGTGGTCCAACAGGAGCTGTTGGACCACCCACCAAGGACTATGTCCGAAGGAGTCTGAGTGAGGCGTTCAAACCCACAACCACTGCTGACTGTTGGGCACGGTGGTGGCAGCATCATGCTCAGGGCTTGTTGCTGCACGGAGTGCTTAATGAAGGTGGAGGACCTCTCCACATTCTTCAACACATCAACGTCATGGTCGATGGTAGAACAGTTGGGTCCAACAGGACCATGAACCCAAACACGCATCAGAACCGGCTTCTGACTGGAGAAAGCAGGCGAACGTTGGTTAGCTTTCGGTCACAGTGGATCATCGGCCTCCAGGACTAGTTCCAGCGGCGCCCTGCTGGTTAACGGCACCGGAGGAGGTTGTTACTTCTGGACCCGACTGGTTCAGTAAGGCTGTCGTAAAGTCCAGCAGAGCGGTTCTAGAAGTGACTCTTTGTTTTGGCAGTTTTACGCCGGATGCCCCAAATGACAACGCTCCGTTAATCCAGGGTTGGGACCAGCAAGACTTCCTCCCAAAGACCGGTTTCTGAAGCGGGACATCCCAACGCTTCCAGTTTCAGTCAGCTCTCCTGGTTCTGCCTGGATGAGCCGCCACACATCAACCAGAACTTTACCAGAACACCTGAAGGAACCAGCCAGCGGTCCAGGCAGGGACCTCTAAGGGACATTTAACCAGATGTTAGTGGGAGTGTTGGGATTTATCAGAGCCTGTGGATTGAAGAACCCCCCTAGAAGTTTAAACCTGTGCACCCAGTTCTTGTTGTCCAACCATTCAACCCTGGAAGAACATTTCCAGGGCTGAAGGTCTGACGTTCCTGCAGACATGGGTGTATGGAAACTTCTGCCTGAAGCGTACCTGGTTTTCTTTGGGCCGAGTCCACTTGGCTCTGGCTGGAAGGACTGGGGTCTGGATGCAGGTGTCTCCAGATGTTTGTCTTCTCTGACAGCGTGGGCTCGGCCGGCTGCAGCCTCCATGAACTTTTTGATCTTCAGATTGTATTTTAAAGGAACAGACCAACACTTCTCCTGACGCGTCTCAGAGTCGGATCCTTTACATTCAGGTTAGCTTAGCTTAGCTTAGCACAAGGAGTGGAAGCAGCTGGAAAGTGTTAGCCTAGCTCCAAACCCTGAAGTGATTGTGTTTGGCCTTTCTGGGCTTCCGTAGCTCTGAATATTTCTAGTTTGTTGAAGGGGTGAGGTCCTCCAGAGTTAGATTCTAGTTTATGTTGTTTCAGAGAATTTTAATGTAAACAGCAGATTTTATTGTACATGAGTAAAAACTTTAACTTGTGATGGATAATTCTGTGCACGCGCTCCGTGCTCACCGTGGCTTCTGTCTGTCCTGTGTTTCTGAGCTTCTGTTCGTTGATTCCAGATCCTCTTATTTATCTACAGCCGTATTTATAAGGAGACTCGCTCCAATAAAGTCAGACTGTCAAACTGTTGCCATGTGGTGATGCGTAGCACACAGGCACGCGCGCGCGCACACACACACACACACACACACACACAGGTAACTGGAGGCAAACAGGTGTGCAGGCAGACCAATTTTATTTAATTAGCTCCTTTTTTGTAAACAGGAAGTGATGTCACAGGCCCTGCAGGAGGGACTCCAGTGGGTCACTGTTCCAGTATTTGCAGTTCCAACCCAGAAACCAGCCAGTGAAGGTCGGTGGTTCAAATCCCTGCTTTAACGTCACAATGGCGGTCCGAGGATCTCGGTGGGCCGGGTCAGTTTTGATGTAAACTTCAGCTGGACAGAAGACATGCACAGAACCCGTCACCTGACCGGTCATGAGTCTGTGAGACCGTCTGAACCACACGATGACACGTCATGTCCCACTTTTACACCTTACTTTAGGAAATAATGAGTGGCAGCTAATTTGATGAATCCTTACCAAAAACATTTATAATGAAGTGATAATATTAGAACTGTTAAAATAAGATTATGTGTGATCTGATGGTTCAGACTGTGTGTTGTCAATGACTCTCAGCTACAACATCAAATTTTAGCTGAATGTCTGTAAAGTTGACTTTGTGTACATTCTGGGTAAATACCAGGTTATTTAGCAGGTTTGCATCAGAGACACGCCTGGTTACCTGCTGGGTACATATCAAGTTACTTGCTCAAAGTATGTAGCAGGTACTTGCTAGTAGGGCTGAACAATTAATTGCATTTGTGATAATATCATGATATGATGAAACAAGGTTTTCTAATCGCAAAGGCTGTGATTTGACTGGTCACGTGATCTGGTCACGTGATCTGTGAGTGAGCGGAGCAGAGCAGGGAGGAGTCAACTGTACGTTTTAACAGGTTGCACAATGACGTCAGGCTCGACAGAAGCTGACGCATCTGACAGTTTGGTCCCAGAGAGCGGCAGCACGTCCGTTGTTGGGAATCATTTTGTCAACAAAGAAGACGACGCTGCACAACGACACGTGATGTGCAGAACCTGCCGTGATGCCGCCTCTCGAGGTAACGCCACAAATCTTTAACAACACCACAAACACATTTACCATGGTTGCATGGCTAGAACGCCAACGACCAGTGCTTCAACTTCAAGTAAGCAAAGTAGCAGCCGACGGGGATCACAAAGAAGCAGCCGACGGGGATCTCAAAGTAGCAGCCGACAGGGATCACAAAG